TGAGGCCATGCAGACACTTCTCTTTATGTACTGAGTGCTAACTGCGCAGGGATGGGACATGGACCAAGGAAATGCTGTATTTGAGGAGGTGGTGCATATGTTTAAATTATAAAGCAAGTTACAGCACAGAAAGACAAGAGGATTATCATCACTCTACTCAGGTCACCTGAGATGTGACTGAGAAGCTTTGATCTGAGCTTGTGTATGCTCATCTCCGGTTTCAGTCAAAATACATATTTGGATAACTGGATTTCTAAACTCGAATTGGATAACTTCTGAAGGGAAAAAGTGATTCCAGCATGCATGATGCCAGGGCAACATGCTGTGGGAGGAAGCTCCTGCATTGTCATTTAAATCTTGATTTGCTGAGGATAGTCCATCTCTGGAACCTTAGTTCAGCTTTTGAGAGCATGATGTTAATAATGCCAAGGTTGTGGGTTTGATCCCTGTGTGGGCCATTCGCTTAAGAGTTGGACTTGATGATCCTTGTGGGTCCTTTCCAATGCATAATATTCTGTAATTCTGTGATAATTGGAAGTTGGAAGCACATGTTCTGTACCCTGTGAATTGAGCATATGGTCTCACCTCTCTGCAGGTGGTGTGCTCAGGAGGGATACTTATATATCATTTTATACTACTGAATGTAAATGTTCTTTATAAATTACTTTTAAAGGTTTAATTGTCTGGTGTCTTTTCTATTTCTTGAATCATCAAGAGGTAAACTTGGCTGGCTGCACCTTACAGGTGGATGTGTGATGAAGGAGACCCATGTGGGTGCCATTGCCAACGAAGATGTTGCATACACAGGACACACAGCCACACTGAGCCATGCCAGTAAAGACCTGCAGCTGCCAGGTTTGTCTCCTGCTCAGTAATACTGTGTTTGGCCCTGGAACAAGGGACGATTTGGGACACCCCTACACTAGACCTGGGGTGTCCTGGTTTAGTGCAAATTTGGGAGAGAACCTCCAAATGGGGGCCCTCCCCAGAAAAGCAAATTCAAGTGGCCCCTCCCCCAACTGGTTCTGGAAAAAAAATATCTCCTCAGAGAAAAGTTGAAAAGACCTGTTTATTTAACAGAAATTGAATAATATTAAACAATAAAACCTCTCGCTGTTCTATGAAATGGCAAAGCCAGAAAAAATAAGTCCTTTTCACATGGTGTAGCTCAGCTCACTCAGGTTCTTATCGGTCCCTCTGGCTCTGGAAAGTGCCAAGGCCCAGGCCCGGGTGGGCCACAGCTGTGAGCTCCTGGGATTTGGCTGGGTTTTTTTCAGTCCAGAGCAGGTTTGAACAGATCCAAGAAAAAGGGAAAAAAAAAGTCCAAGGAACTCCTCTGCCTCAGCTAGCTAAAACTAACTAAAAGCAAAAGAGAAGCTCTGTCCCACTGTCTGTCCATGCTGCAGACACCACAGTCCAGGAGCAGGATGCAGGGGAGTGGTGTTTGTCCTCAACACAAACTGTGACTTCTTCTTCCCCCCTTCGCTCTCAGAGCCAGTCTTAAAGGTGCAGAACGTAATATGTAACATAAGGCAACTGGGGATACGAGCATCACAAAATCATCCCAGGAAATGGGGGCAGGCCAGGTTACTTGGTACTGCCAGGACAGTGACAGTACCACTGTCCAAGATAGCAACACTGGGGAGGTGCTTTGGCCTTGCAAGAGTAGGAGGAGTGAAATTAATATCTTTTATTCTTTTTTATGAGGTTTTAGAAGGCTAGGGAAGATCCCTATTGTAAAATCACACCACCTCCCTTCTGAGGAACAGAATGCTTCCCAGAGTTTGCACAATGCCCTGTGGGTACAGTGTATGTTAATGCCTGCTGGATTTGATCTTCAAGGCTTTGTTGGGTCCCTGAAGATTGAGATAAGCTTGTTAGGAGGCAAATGCGGTTCTTGTGAAAGATACGTCAAGTATACAGGAGAGCTGTTGGATTTGAGCAAGACCTACTGAGTGCTGCCCTTAGGTGAGGAACTGAGTGTAACAGTGATGAGTCATTGAGGCAGATCAGCTGCTGAATTTGTTTTCTTGCCATCAACTTGCTAAGGCTTGAAGATGCATTCAGTTTCCTCCCTGCACTGCTCCACCTTCTTTCTTTATGTTTCCTCCAGGGCTGGGAAGCTTCTGAGTAGTCTGATAATGTTTAAGAATTTAGTGTATCCATCCCCTCCTGTCTTTGTGCATGGGAGAACAGTTCTTGGAGAAAACTTGCAGCAAGTCTGTCACTTGTGTGCTGAGAAACCCAGCAGAGCTCAGATCATGGAAACACCAAATCCATTAGATTGGGGAAGGCCTTTGAGATCATCAAGTACCTGTGACTGGTCACCACTTTGTCAATCAAAGCAGAGCACTGAGTCCAGTCACTTCTTAATTAACTCCAGGGATGGGGACTCCACCACCTCCCTGGGCAACCCATTCCAATGTTTAACAGCCTTTTCCATGAAAAAATTCTTCTTGATGTCCAACCTATACCTCCCCTGGCATGGCTTGAGTCCATTTCCTCTGTTCCTGTCACTTGTTACCTTGGAGCAGAGCCCAGTCCCCACATGGCTGCACTCTCCTGTCAGGGAGTTGTAGAGAGTGAGATCACCTAAGCCTCCTTTTCTCCAGGCTGCTCCAGGCTCCCAAGCTCCCTCAGCTTCTCCTCATAGGACTTACTCTCTAATGGAGAGTTCCATCTCCAAATGGAGCATGGGCGCCTGACTCTCTTTCCCCCTTACTTTTATCCCCCAGATGTTACCACTGAAGATGAATAGATCACACAGACACAGGTCGAGGTGTGGTAAAGAAAGAGCAGAGTTTATTTTTCCTCCCAGGATTTGTAGGCTTCTGACCATGGCCAGGGATTGGATGGTCAGGATAACACTTTCTCACTGCACTGGCCATGAGAGATGCCCGTCACAAGATGTGTAACAGAACGAATGTGCACATATCTATGTTTGCAGTTACTGTCCTGGGAAAGTCTTTAGAAAACCATGTCAGCAAGCTCAGAAGCTGAGTTTCCAGGGCGACACCCATATACACAGATGAAATGTGCATCACACGATGTGTGCCCACATAATGTTAGTGAGCAACTGTGGGAGATGAGGCATCCAGCTCCAGGTGAGCCGTGAGAAAAAGAGCATATGTGGATTCCTCCAGGCTGCTGGGAGTTGGGTGAGTCAAGGCTGGCACAGTATCACCCCCAGGCTGCCCTAGCCCAAAATTATGGCTGACATGAATCTGCTGACTCCCACAGACATGGACATCTGGTGCCATTTTGGATCTTGTTTTAAGAATAATTGGCCCAGTTGTTTCCTTCTTCTTGCATGCAGTAAATTTCAAAGGTCTCCATTATCACACTATTTCACATTATTTCATTCAGAGATGTATGCCCAAAGGAATCTTTTCTTGGATGGCTGCACTGAACGACATGATGAACGACATTTCACTTCTTATTCTCACGGGTACAGCAGACACAGTGCCTTCAAATAAAGGCAAGGCCTTGTTCAAAAAGCTGAAGTCATGTGTAACAAAGGAAAGGATCTATAACTTTATCAGATGAATGTGCACATGTGCTAAAGCAGACCAAGAAATATCCTGAGAAACAATTTGAAAGGCAATACCAGTCTCTGAAACATTGGCAAGACGGCTGGATTCAGGGATGATGGTGGCAGACAGGAGGAATGGGTCAGGCTAGAGACAAGGAATGCAATAAACTGCCCTGTATGGCTCCCCAGCTGAGGGAAAGAGGCTTCAAGCCAAGAGGTGAGAAAATGTTACTTAGCCCACAGAATAACTGAATAACAGCAAACCTTCAAACCCACTGCAGGAGGAAATTTGTTCTTAGAGGAATTCAGTTACTAACTGTGGAATGCCATTTTTTTGTTTCAAATCATCTTGTTATCAGAAAAATTTAAGAAGGTTCCAAGTGGGAATGTGAGAAACTACAGCCGTCTGTAGTCTGATATGCAGACTGGTCAGAGCAGTAGAAAATATTATGTGATAGAATTTTTCGAAACAGATATGAATATAATAAGAAAGAATCCCTCTGGGGTAGTCTGTGAGGAAATTCACTCTGCTGGAGTTGCCCCAAAGAATTGGTGAGCTCATGTAGTGGAGAGAACCTGCACCCTGCTCAGCTTTGTAAAGGCATTCAGAAAGGTCCCTCACAAGCCTGAGGAAACCCACCTGAATTGACTATGAGAGACCAACACAAATTGTTTACAGCTGTATATTGTTGCAGGTATGCCCAAAAAGGGGGAGGGAAAGGCAGAGAGCAAAATCAGCTGATAATGAAGGTTTCACATGATGGTGTTGTGGATTGCCTGCTGCAGTTCACAGCACTGAGAGACTGACAGAACACAGGTGAAGCTGAGTGGAGCAGAGGAAGGTGGTGCACAAGAGAAGGTGTCCTGAAGTGCTGGGCTGCGTGTGAGCACTCCAGAACTGCTCTGGGGAGTAGTGCCTCAGCTTTGTGCTCAGTACATGATGATTCAAAATGCAAACAGGATATGGGATGTTGCTGGCCAAGATGAAGGAACCAAAACTGAGACTGCTGAGGCCTTGAAGACACCAGGAGATTTTAATGGATATAGACGGTCTCCCCTGGGGCCTCCATCCACACCCTCTGCTGGGTGTCAGAGCTGAATAAGGGATGAGAGCTGTGCAGCCTGAGAAGGAAAAGCCTGATAGAAAGAGGGGGAAAGAAAGATGCCCCTGCTGATAGTGTCACCAGATAGGTGTCATCTGTGAAGCAGAGTGAAATTGCAATCAGCCACCTCCTTGACACCCTCTAAATTATTCTCTTGTACTAGGACATCTTACCCCACCTCTAAGCTCACAGGCAGGTCAAAACAAATGATGATATTTCAACTAGTCTGACATACTCATGGGATTGAGCAAGAGGTGGGGACAGTGAGTGATGAGGTGTTTTGTGGGGAATCCTGATTTAGAAGTGAGCTTTATGCCTTACTAATACCTGCTTGCTGCAGGCAGCCTCTGGTTTCTGTGCCCATGGTCTTGACCAGAATGGGAGTGTCAGAGGGGTTCTGGCACCATGAATACTGGCTGCCACCTGGAGCTATCTGGGAAGACTTGAAGGAGTCTGCAGACATATACTACCCGCAGCCTCAGCACCTTCTGCTTTGCATCCCTGGTGCCCTGTTATTGATCTTTGTCCAATGCATCTTTGAAAGGTGAGTGCAACACCTCTGGTTTCTCCTGTGCTGGTTGCCACAAGTGTTTTGCAGGGCTGCTCCTTACCTGCCTCCTAACCACTACAAAGTGTTCATGGGATTGTCCCCAAGAATAATGCATCTCTGCTTTTCATACTATATGGTATTTGTGTGGCAGCTCTTTCCCCTGCCCTCCCTCTGTCCTGTACCTGTAGGTGTGAAAAGACAAGTCCATCTCTCAGTCACACCTTAGTGTGGATGGGTCCTTTTGGAGACAGTCCAAGACAGATAAGGGAACTTTCAGCACAGATAAGGGATTTATTTAGTATGTCAGTGCTGGGAACCCCTAGCTGAGGCAGGGTTCAGCCTGATCCTAGAGGATGCTCCTGAAGGTGCTGTGGGACCTCTTTGTTCAAATCACTCTTTGCCCAGCTCTGCCCTGCTTTCTTCTCCTGACACCAGAGGACCCCAGTTCTGTCAGGGGTCATGATGCACTCCACTGTCCTGGCTGCAGACATGTCACCCCAGGGGAGCCTGAGGACTGGCCTGGTGTCTTCCCAGAACCTGTGTGGAAATGAGGCAGATCCACATGGCTTGTTCCATGAAATGGATTCAGGGCTTTGAGACTGTTTTCCGGGAACAAGGGCTGACCCATGAGGTACAGACAATTGTCCTCATGCTTGGACAATTGGAAGCCAGTCAGTTAAAACAGGATTCTGCGCCAGTGTGGGCAGAATTGCCAGAATGCTTCCCACCAGGCAGAGCAGGACTTCAGGGGGGAAGAGGGGAAGATGTGAAGTGTCAAAGCTGTGGTCAGCAAACCTGCCCTAAGCTGTGACAGAGGGTGTCTCCTGGAGGAGCCAGGAGAGCACTGACCCATCTGTCCTGAGTGCTTGCTCCTGACTGCAGTGCAGAGTCTTGTGAGAAGATGCGACAGATGAGGGCTGTAGGAAGAGCCAGAGTTAATTCCAGGGTCACCAGGTCTTCCCTCAAAGAAGGGAAGGCAAGTTGCACTTGCCTGGCTTCCTAGAAACAACATGATTTAGAATGCAATGCCTCCCACTAAAGCTTTACTAGGGTTTCCTGAAGGAACCAGCATATTCCCACATGTTCTGTCCTTGGCTCCTGCTGCAGCCAGTGGTCAGGTACCCTAGACACAGAGCTCATGGGACACTCAGACACCTGCAGACTGGTTTTGTGGCATCCTCTGGACTGCTCAGAAGCACTTTAAGGAGAACCAGCATGTACTCCAACACAGCAGCATGCTGTGTGTCCTGTTGGCTCAGCAAAACTAATTACTGCTTATTTAGCTATCATTACTGTTGTCTCCACCCTACCTTTGCTTTGGTGCCATTATGTTTCTGAAAAAGAGCAGTGACCTGATAGAGGCACCAAGCATTGAGTGTGTGCTGGAGTAGCACTGGGAGCTTTGAGTTGTGCCATGGCCTGGTGCATGAGCACTCTCAGGGTGCTGGGGCAGGACAGGCAGCACAGAACACGGCACTGGAAGCATCTTCCTGTTGGCTGACCCTGGCTGCCAGTGTGGGCACACAACTCCTCTCCTGCCAGAACTCTTTCCTCTTACAGAACCCTTGCTCTGTCCTTGGGCAGGGCATTGGGGGTGAGCAACAAGTGGAAATTCAAAGTTCAGACCAATGCCACACTGGAAGGCTTCTACATTCTGCTGGGCAGAGCCCCAAAGAAGGTGAGTGTCCCATTGTCCCAAGAGCCCAGGCAAGCAACACCTTCTCTCTGTCTCCACCCCAGGCCAGGCCAACCAGCCTCACAAGCAAGGTTACTGTTAACCACCCTTCCAGGGAAGAGATGTATAAGCAGATATTGCAGCAGCTTCCAACATGTTCAACAGCTGCAATCGCAGCACCTCCTGACCTGTTGCATGTCAAACACAGCAGCTGCTGTGAGAGCTGCTGGCTCTGGCAGGAAGGCAGCCACTACTACCTCTTTGGGTAGAGTCTATTAAGGCTGTTTATTTTTGGCAGAACCGCAAGTCCTTCAGAATCACAGAATCATTTAGGCTAGAAAAACTCTCTGAGGTCACTAAGTCAAACCATTCTCCCAGCACTACCAAGGCCACCAGCATGTCCCCACATACCACATCTACACGTTTTAAATCTCTTCAAGAATGGGGTCTCCACCACTGCCCTAGACAGTCTGTGCCAGGGCTTGCAGTTTTTCCAATCTAAACCTCCCCTGGCACAACTTGAGGCTATTTCATCTTGTTCTACTTTCAGGGAGTTGTAGAGAGTGAGAAGGTCTCTCCTGAGCCTCCTTTTCACCAGGCTGAGCCGCCCACAGCTCCCTCAGCTGCTCTGTATCAGCCTTGTGCTCCAGACTCTTCCCCAGCTCTGCTGCCTTTCTCTGGACATGCTCCAGCCCTTCAATGACTTTCTAGTCATGAAACTGAACCCAGGATTTGAAATGCCACAGCAGTTCCTAACACGGGACAGCCACTGCACTGGTCCTGCTGGCCACACTGTGGCTGGTACAGGCCAGGTGCCATTGGCCGTCTTGGCAACCTGGGTACACCTGGGCTCATGTTCAGCCACTGTTGACCAGGACCACCAGGTCCTTCTCCACCAGGCAGCTTTCCAGCCCCTCTGTGTCACACTGTATTAGGAACAGCAAAAGTGATGACACAGACTCTCTAGCCTTAGTTGCAAAAGAGAGCACATTTTACTCTTCCAGATCTTCTTTCATTCTTTATTATAGTCCCAAGAAGGTCCAAAAAGGTAAAGCTTTCATTGGTCATCAAACCAACACATCACCATCACTGCACGGTTAAGAACACCCTGTGACTGTTTCTTACAAGTAAACAACAAGGCAGCAAACAACACCTGCAAAGGTTGTTTTCCTTCTCCAAGGACTGTTTGGATTCCTCCTTATGATTTCCCAGGCCAGAGTGAGAAAGTTGTGTGCTTGACTTTCCCACAGGCTCAAGCTAGTACCTGAAGCCTAAAAATCTCTTATTTGACCACTGACAGTTCCCACATCTCACCCTTTTTGTTTTTAAGGCAGAAGGCAGCATCTGTAATCTCCTGCAGGGCCCTTGCAGGAAAGAGAACAAACACGGCATCAGACATCTCTTTAGTAACTTGTCAGTTACCAAATGGAACCTCGATTGGACACCAATTTAAAATGATCAGAGATATTCTTTGTCACATGTTATCAAATCCTTCATGCACTACCATCAAGTCTTGTGGTTCATTCTTGCAAGGAGTCAGTTACTAATAGCTAACTTAGCCCTGGGATTACCTTCTATTATGAAACCTGGTAAATTGGTGCTATTTTAGTCCCCCTGCTCTCCTGGGGCCATGTTCCGCCCAGCCACAAGCCACAGGAGGGGGGAGTTATATCTAAATAACAAGGATTAGAGGTAAAAATGAGGCTCTTCCCTTCCTGGGACGACGTCCCCGCTTTATTCAGGGAATCCGGCGCAGAAAAGAGGAAGAGGCTGATCCCGTGCTGCTTTTTGAAGGAAGGGGGAAGGGTTACAAATTACAAACAATAGGAAAACACTACAAGGGAGGAGTCAGGGGAAGGGACTAACCACTGTGCAGCTCAGAGGGCATCTCTCCGGATCCTACCATGTTTCTTAATGCATTACAACAAATTGGAGTGACTCCAAATGTGCAGGATGTAATATAAATAAATTTAGACTTGAATTGCACAGAAGTTTTCAATAATGAAACAAGGTTGCATTATTGACCTCTTTCAGAAGTGAATAATCCAAACATTTGGTTATGTCTGCTATATAAGCAGATTCAATGACCAGTTTCAGGGGTACTTCAAGAAATTGTTGGAATGCCATGGCAACAACCCTCAATTCAACCAACTGGGCTGAGCCTGGTTTGTGACCTTCTAGCACTTGCCAGTCAGATTCATCCTTCCAGGGAACAATAGGTTTTTCTCTTTGTCTGAGCTGCCAGTAAAAGGTGGTGGTCCTTGCACTGGCACCCAGCTATTTTTGGCTGCAATGACAAATTGGTTGATTTTATTAATTTCAATAATTTGTGGCTGGGTAGATGATAAGCAATCTGCCCTGAAAATTTGCAGCACATTTTGCAAAGGAGCACTGTTCACTGTTAGCAAAGTTCCATTAAAAGTCTTCCTGCTATATTAGAAAAACAGTTTTTGCAGGATCAGCTGCCATTAATTGCAAACACCATTAATGGCATTTGATAATCAAATAAGCACCCACAACATGGGTGCTGGGGTTTTGGGGGGTTTTTTTGGGGTTTGTTTGTTTGTTTTAGTTGCAAAGGCATGTGAGGATGTGTGTCAGGGCCGAAATGACAGCCTGTGACCGTGCTGTGGATGAAAAGATTGTTCAGGCAGCAGCTGACAAGATGACCTACTTCCCCAAGGAGCAGAAAGTCTACTCCAATAAAGGCTGCAAGACTGTACAAGCCAAGTCATTCTACCTTGAATCTCCAAAGCACTTTCAGAGCTTTTGGAAATCTGTGTATTTGCACTTACACTTCTCTACCATTGCAGGAAGTGTGTTGAAAGTACCAGAATGAGCTGTATGGGCTTTGTAGCTTGCACATTCCAGAGAGACCCATTGCAGGATGTGCAGGATCAGACTATTGCTCACTCAACTGGCCAATGATACCTGTAGGATGAAGATCTGAATTGGTGATGAATACAGTAATATCAACGGAGGAATTTGCTTGATGAACCTGATTCCCAAAGATCTACATGATCCAAATTACCACAAAATAAAACCACAGCCTTTGGTAACTACGAAGCATACCAAAGGCATGTAAGATATTACATGAGGTAAAATTACATCTTTTTTGGAAAATTAGTAATTTTTGCTTTAGAGTGTAAATAAATGAAACTCAGGGAAAAGTCCATCAGCTGAAGACATTGATCACTAGATGTCTTCTTGAATCCTGAAATGGAACAACTTTAGAAGGTTAGTGGAAACACAATCACATGATGCTGACACAGGGCTTTTGTTGTCAAATTGTCTCTATAACTTTCATACACAACTGTCTCTTTTGCAGTCACTCTTCTGTTGTTGATCTAGCCAAAGGCTATGCAGTATGTCCCTTTTCACTCTTCGAGGGCAATGGGTGTCTGATGTGACTGCTTAAACCTGCTGATGATAAAACACAGGCATATCTTCTCCTAAATTAATAAATTAATTAGGTGTTACTATTGTTAGTCAATCGAAATTTAACTTTGGTAACTCATTTTCCAAATTTCTAATATAAATGTTACATTGTTCAAATTTATCTGTTGTCTATAAATTTGATCAGCACAGAAACTGCAAACAGCTAAAGTGCTTATGTCCAGTGAAGACCTGAACACCTCTCCCAGGTGAGGGTCTCAGGCTCACTCCAAAGATCGATTCAGTTGTTATATTTACTGATCAAATTGCTGAGTCAAAGAACTCGTTTGTAATCTTTGCTGCAGGAACATCTGGGCCTAAAAAGAGCTAAGGTATGTCCAGTGCCTGCCCTCACTGGAAAAGAATCCCCTATGTGAATTTTAAAATGAACTTCTAAAGAATCCTGGGGTAAAAACTAAATGAAACCCTAATAACTGGTCTCCTCCAAAATTCTGTCAGGATAAGGGTGCTTTGAGCTCAGCAAACTCTTGGAGTGGTCTGTGACCAGAACTGGAACCACATCCCAACCCCTCAGGGCAGAAGAAGCGTTGTACAGATCTCAGATAATATTTCTTGGAAATCTGAAAAATACTTTGCAAAAACCACCATAAACAACTAGAAAACAAGGAAAAAAATCCTTGAGTGATACGTGTCTTATAGGCAATTACAAAGAGATACTAAAGTGTATGAGAAGAAGAAGCCGCTGGCTATAAAACTTCTCAACAATATCGTATCAGTGAATTCACATTATGTAATCAATATATCAGTAATAACTATCTTAGAGAGTTAACAGTTAAAACTTAACCATTTTGTGTTATCTGCGAAAGCGCAACAAAGATTGCTTTTTCAGTAGCGATGAAAAGGGTGAAGTAGCGAAGAAAGGGTGGCGGGGATGGAGCGCGGCGGAGGCAAATCGCGGTTCCCCTTGGCGGAGCCGCTCCGAGGAGCGGGGGAGCCGGGCTGGCCCCCGCCGGGCTGTGTGCGAACACTACAGCTGGCGCTGGGAAGAGTCTGGATGAGGAACCCGAGCCACTCTCTTTCAACCTCCTCGCTCGGCTGGCCGCCCCGTCCCTCTCCGACACCAGAGTTGCGGGGAGCCTCCCCCCGTGGCGCTACAGGGCCCGAGGGAAAGAGTTGGCCACGGAGAAAAACTCCGGTCGGGCCACTGAGAGCCGCCGCGGGGCGATGCAAACGGAGCCTGCGGTGCAGCAGCACGGACAGACGGACAGCGGCCCGGCAGGCACGGACAGACGGACAGCGGTGCAGCAGCACGGACAGACGGACAGCGGTGCAGCAGGCACGGACAGACGGACAGCGGTGCAGCAGGCACGGACAGACGGACAGCGGCCCGGCAGGCACGGACAGACGGACAGTGGCCCGGCAGGCACGGACAGACGGACAGCGGCCCGGCAGGCACGGACAGACGGACAGCGGTGCAGCAGGCACGGACAGACGGACAGCGGCCCGGCAGGCACGGACAGACGGACAGCGGCCCAGCAGCACGGACAGACGGACAGCGGCCCGGCAGCACGGACAGACGGACAGCGGCCCGGCCAGCACGGACAGACGGACAGCGGCCCGGCAGGCACGGACAGACGGACAGCGGCGGCGCTGGAACCCGCACGGAGCCGCGCAGCCCCTTCCGCTTCCGTCCACCACAGCCTCTCGGGGCTGAAACATCTCCGTCTACCCCCTGCCCCCAAACACCCGCTGAGGGAAAAAACAGAGAAAATACTGCAACCAAACCCTAGGAATCACATGGGGCAATCCTTAAAACAGACATAGAAAGAGTTAAAAGGCATAAAACACTCATAAGGTGAACTTTTGGCCCCGAAACCCACGGGGCACTGAACGGAAGGTGGAGCGGGACCACAGGGAGAAACCTCTGTTACAGGGTATTTTGTCCGACTTCCTCTCAACTTCGGGGGCACGGTGTTCCGCGCAAAGCTGTATCAGTGCAGGTATTCTGTGTCTTCAGAAGTCCACATGGGCTGGAGGCGCTGAGGCAGGAGAAGGCATCAACCGCAGGCATCACGGGCGGGATGACAAGCCCTGCTGGCTGCCCCTGAGCGCCGTCCCCGCCGACAGGAGATGCTTTCGCAGCCCCCGCAGATGGAAGCAGAAGAGCCGGGGGGAGGGGGCAGCGAAGGAAGACATCTGCAGCTGGGACTCAATAAAAAACGCATAGAATCTTCTGATACAGTGAGTCCCAAGCATGGCAATACGTTCTTCCACACAGAGAGGACGATTTGTTCTTCAGTGGAACTTAAGTTCCCCATTGTAGGAAACCTTTACCCAATGGCCAGCAAGTGCAATATACAGATGCAGTGGTTTATCGCACAAATATATAAGCTCTAGCTTTGCTGGGATGGCCATTCCATACCCACCCAATGGCAAGGTCCACTACCCCGGGTCACTGAGACCTGCAGCTTTCCAGGAACACACTGGGAAAGACTCCTTACCTCTCAAGGGGAGGCGGAGGGAGACTCCTGTTGTTCAGCTTGTGGCTGCAAAGAACATTAGGGATTCACCCAGATGTGACACTGTATTAGGAACAGCAGAAGTGGCGACACAGACTCTCTAGCCTTAGTTGCAAAGGAGAGTACGTTTTACTCTTCCAGATCTTCTTTTATAGACAGTTCCAAGAAGGTCCAAAAAGGTAAAGCTTTCATTGGTCATCAAACCAACACATCACCATCACTGCACGGTTAAGAACACCCTGTGACTGTTTCTTACAAGTAAACAACAAGGCAGCAAACAACACCTGCAAAGGTTGTTTTCCTTCTCCAAGGACTGTTTGGATTCTTCCTTATGATTTCCTAGGCCAGAGTGAGAAAGTTGTGTGCTTGACTTTCCCACAGGCTCAAGCTAGTGCCTGAAGCCTAAAAATCTCTTATTTGACCACTGACAGTTCCCACAACTCTGCCCCAAGCCTGGATTGTTCTGTGAGGTTCTTGTGACCCAAGGACAGGGCCCAACCCTTTGCCTTGTTAGACTTGGACCATTGGTCAAGCCTGTCAAATTGTCTCTTCAGAGCATTCCTGCCCTCGAGCAAATCAACATCCCACCCAGCTTGGTGTCATCTGAAATGACTGAGGGTTCCCTCGATCTCCTCTTCCAGATCATCAGTGAAGATATTAAATGGGTCTGGCCCCAAAACTGAGCCCTGGGGATAACCATTGGTCACCAGGCTCCAATTGGATTTAGCTCCATCCACCACCAGTCTCTGGGCCCGGATCATGACTCACACTGATGCATGGATTTTAAAAAATAATTTACTTTAATCACTATGAAGCTTTGTCAGATTAATTATAAAATGCTCATGAGCTTATCTTTACATTAATTTTAATCCCAGTTTATAAACCTTAACTCTTCTCATGTTATTTGGAATTAATGCCTTTGAGCCTGTGACTGTGCCACTTCAACAGCTGAATGGTTTACTGACATTATGGAGTGAACCATGTGTCTGTTTCTTTTTCTTTACAAACTGAAACTTCTTTTATCTTGAGGTTTTCCATCTGTAGCTTGATAATCATAAACCAAAATTGTATCAGAGGTGGAAAAAAATATATTTAGACTTTTACAGACAGGCATTACATTCCATTGGCAAATTCCATTGTTCCATTGGTACAGCTGGCAAAACTTAACCAGGGAGAGGCTGTGTTTACTTCTGAATCTGCATTTAGATATGTCTGGAGTTTTAAAATGGCCAAAACAATCTGGGAGTTCACTGTAGTAAAACATTTTAACAGAGTAAAGGCATGCTGTTTTAGTAGAAGCCTGTCTGCACAAGCCAGCCTTTGGTATAAGCGATGATATTAAAGGCAGTGTCCTTGAAACTCTCCTGAAGCAGCAAGAATGAAAGAAAAACAATAGCCTTGTGTATTGAGGAAAGAATGTAAACCATATGTATTAATATAAGATATATTAATATTAATATAATAGTAATAGTATAGTATAGTATAGTATAGTATAGTATAGTATAGTATAATAAACTATTAACCAATAGTAGCTTGCTAAGCCCGTGGACCCTGTCAGACCCTATAAAAGTGTGCTAAAGATAGAAATAAACAACATTTGCCATACTTCTGTGAAGACTTGGTGAATAGTCTGAGCGGTTTCTCAGTAGTTCACAAATGCAAACAGAACTGATAGAATTTTTTTCAAAGAAAGATGTACTTTGGGCAAAGGTGGACAGGCAGATGCAGGCCCTGGAAGCAGAACTCCTCCTCCCTCACAGGGAATGACAGCCTCCAAAAGGCTCAGTCCTTCCTCCCTGGTCTGTTTTCCAGGAGGAGCTGGTTTCACTGGCCAAGCAAAGTGACCTGCTGGTCAGAAAGGTAGAGACTTAGCTGAGGCATCAGCGGGCCCAGGACCACCCCAAGCTGATGAAGGAGTTCTGCGAGGCAAGGTAGTTGGGTCAGCTTTTGGTGATGGAAACCTCCAACAGGTCTGCTCATCATTACTACCCTCTGCCATGCCCTTACCCAAAACACACTCCCAGGGGAGCTGCTGTGGCTGCAAGTGGACCCTCTGTCCCACGAGGCTGGGTCCCATTATTGCACACACTGACAAGAGAGCCCCACTGCAGCACTGCCAACTCCCAGCTCCCTCCCTCTCTCCTCTCCCTTCTTCCTCCCCATTTTTACCTTTGAAAAATTAAATTTGACTCAGCAGTCTACTGGCCTTGATGGAGAACAAGTTTAAATCTCAGACGCTCAGAGGGATTTTGAACACCAAAGCTGCTTATAAAATAAGCATTATAAAATTTTCAGAGATGATCTTGATACAAAATTAAAATTTTAAGATATTGTCAGTATGGATGGTTAGTGTAATAAATAGAGACCCTTTTGTTCGCCTAAACATGTAAGATACGATGCTTTGCAAAACTATGCTTTGTGTAATAGAGATGAAGTTGAAGGCTGCTGCTGACGTCTGTATAATTATGAGAACAGCCTTGCAAGCTCTCTTGAATTCCAGAAAGTTAAGCCACTCAGATAAGCCTTAAAAGGAGAACAGTGAGGAAAGGTCAAAAGAGGAAGACTCCTGATCTTCATCCTGCGACCACCAGAAGGCAGAAAGCGACCACCAGTGACCGGAGGCACATGCGCAGAGACACCCGAGAAAGGACACGTAACCCGGAAGTCGGACCACTTAAAAGGGAGAACACGGAAATCGGACGTGCGGCAGCCGAAGGAGTAGAGACTCCCCTGCCGCCCAGCGCTGATTTTTTTGCTTATTGCTTGCTTGCTGTAATTAATAAAATTTTTACCATATCACTCTCTTGAGTGCGTTCATAACAATTTGGTGCCGTGACTCGGATGCAATCTGTAGGACAGATTCTCGGCACTACCGGGGGGCGCCCCGCTATTATTTAGCGGCCCGGGGGGGGGCCGGTTTCTGCCTCGGTTGCACCGACGAACCTAAAATTAAAGCAATAAGCAAAAGGGAGACCGGTCGACCCCTTAAAATCTGTGCACAGAGTCCGGACGAAGACGCGGGACGTGGGACGCGTGAGTATAACGGGGAACCGTTCGGTCGGGGTCGGGATCCCGGAGTGCGGCGACGTGGTGTGTGTGTGAGAGGGGAACTGGCAGCCAGATTCCCCAAGTGAGAGCGGACCCTTAATTAGTGCGTCTCCCATTAGCCCGCGAGGGCGTGGGCCACGAACAAGGGGAAGCGAAAGAGACTGTGTGATTTGGAAGGCACTCCGGAAGAATGGGGCAGGGGAAAAGCAAGCCCCCTGTATCTATTAAACTCCCACCGGTACCTAGAGATAGTCCGTTAGGTTATATGTTAGAAAATTGGCAGTATTTCCCGGGAACAGAAAATAAAGATAAGGCGAAAATGATTCATTATTGTGTAGAAGTATGGGGAGGAAAGGAAATTTCAAAGAAGGTATTTTGGCCTATATTTGGATCAACCGAAGATTGGGTTAGACAAAAGTTAAATTCCTGGGTAAACACAAAGATCCCCTTTAGTTCAGAGGAAAGTGCTTATGCAGAGATCTGGGTAGTAAATCCCGAGGTTTTTATATTTAAGCTGACAGAGAATTCGGAGGAGGGGAAGGGAAAGAAAAAGAAACCTCGGAAAGAAAATACTTTGATAATTCCCCCTCCATTTGTACCACCACCTCCTCCACGGGCCCCTCCCCCTCCGAACCCCGAGGAGGAGGATTTAAACATGCCAGATGTGGGACCTGTTACCAGGAGTAGATCTAAAAGGAAACAGGAGAATCTATTCCCATTAAGGGAAATGCCAATGGGTGGTCCCCAAGCTGGAATAGGGTTTATATCTGTCCCTCTCAGTTCGGGGGATGTCAGAGAGTTCAAAAAGGAAATGGGGCATTTGCTGGAAGACCCATTGGGGGTTGCAGAAAGAGTGGATCAATTCTTAGGACCCAATATGTATACATGGGAGGAATTACAATCTATTTTAAATATTTTATTTACGGCAGAAGAGAAAAACATGATTAGAAGGGAAGGAATGCGCATTTGGGATGCTCAGCATGTCCAGGGACCACTGGCAGATGTAAAATGGCCCCTCCAAAATCCCCATTGGGATCATCAAAATCCAGCGCACAGAGTACATATGCAGGATTTGAGGACTATTATAATTCAAGGGATTAGGGAAGCAGTCCCGAGGGGTCATAATATCAATAAAGCTTTTAATGAGAGACAGAAGAAAGATGAAACTCCTACAGAATGGTTAGAAAGGCTAAGAAAGAATTTTCAACTATATTCAGGAATGGATCCAGACACCCAATTGGGGCAGGCATTGCTTAAAGCACAATTTGTGGCAAAAGCCTGGGAGGATATTCGGAGGAAGATAGAAAAATTAGATGGGTGGCAAGACAGAGGTTTGGATGAGCTGTTGCGGGAGGCACAAAAAGTGTATGTTAGGAGAGAAGAGGAGGCTCAGAAGCGGCAAATTAAGATGATGGTGGCTGCTATGAGAGAAAGTAGAGATCAAACCTGGAAAGGGAAACAACAGAGACCAATCAGAGATTCAAAAGAAAGACAGAACACTAAAGTTTGTTTTTACTGTGGAAAGAAAGGACACTTTAAGAAAGAATGTAGGGTAAGAATCCAGGATGAAAAGATGTTTAAAGAAGATTAGGGGGGGTCAGGGGCTCTTTATTATGGGGACCCGAGAACATCAGAAAGAGCCCTTGATAAAGTTAAAAGTGGGTCCCCAGCACCAAGAAATAACATTCTTGGTAGATACTGGAGCTGAGAGATCAACAATTCAGTTTTTACCTAAAGGATGTAGTATATCCAAAGAAACTACTATGGTAGTAGGGGCAAAGGGGGAACCCTTTGAAGTGGGGGTTATTAAAAATGTGATGATAGAATCAGAGTCAAAAATTGAGTTGAGGAATTTTTTTGTTAATACCAGAAGTATTAGGAATAAAGTGAGAACAACACACCCCTTAGCACCCTCAAAGTTCAGGGAGAGTGGAAAGGATGAATGGAGAAATAAAGAAGCAACTTACTAAGCTAGTAATGGAAACAAAACTATCATGGGTTAAGTGTGTTCCACTAGCCCTTCTGAATATTCGAACCCAGCCAAGGGCAGATTTGGGAATTTCCCCTTTTGAGATGTTATACGGTATGCCCTATAATATAGAAGAAGTTCAAACACATCCAAATGTGAGTGATCAATACATCAATGAGTATTTGATAAAAATAATGAAGTTTAAAAAGGCATTGTGGGAAAAAGGGATGCTAGCTCAAAGACCACCATTGGATTTTATATTACACCAGGTACAACCCGGAGAGTGGGTGCTGATAAGAAGTTGGAAAGAAAATCCCCTAACACCGAAGTGGGAGGGGCCGTATCAAGTCTTACTAACAACTGACTCTGCAGTTCGAACAGCGGAAAAAGGCTGGACACATGCAAGTCGAATAAAAGGACCTGTGAAACCACCAAAATCTAATAACTGAGAAGTGGGGAGCCCGGCTGGGGACTTGAGACTTAAGATATCCCGAACAAAATAACATCCCAGAACTATTAATTGGCTTAGAAACTTATGAATAATAAATTACATAGAGGCTTTTATATAGAATATAAGATACCTCCATCTAGTGGTGAGGAAATATATAATAGAGGTGTTAAAATAGGCTGTACGTTATGCCAAAATTGTTACCCTTTTGTCTGTTTTAAATGTATAATATGTAAAGAACTCTGGTGGACCCACTGTCATAGAGGCTACCCACCAAGAGGCGTGTGTAGCTCTTGCTACACTGCCCAGAGGGATCTCACTGATTGGGCTCTAGTAACTAGAATACAAGCAGGAGAATTTGAAAAGGGATCAGAGAAGTGGTGGGCCATCTACTCAAAAGGAGTCAATCCCTTGTATTATTGTTATCATCCAAACGAACCTACGCCTTTTGTAGCAAATATAGTAGCTGGGTTGTGCAGACGGTGGCTCCAGAAATTAGGGTGTTATACCCCTTTAATAAAGCATAAAAGTTGGGAAAAATACATACAAAGAATTAATAAAAGAGGAAATAATTCCCCTCCTGAAGAGTACTCTTGCTGTCGAGAAGATGGTACACCCCGTGTCCCGAGGCAACCGGGTCGACGAGGGAGGCAGAGGAGTAAAAAAACCGTGGAGGGAAGCATTCCAATATACATGGGACCAAAGGATCATGGTTCTGGAAATGCCACAAGAGTGGGAATGAGACAACCCAGCGAAGTAATTTCTGGGGAATCCAAATTGACACCTCACAAAAGAAAAGCCTCTATTATAGTAGGGGAAGCCAATGCTCATTAAAGAAGTCAGTAACAGTTATAATCTTAATTAGCACATTTAATATTAGTACAAGTAAGACTCACGAGCCCTTCAATTGGTCCTTAATCCGATGGGAAGACCAGGTCGTTATCCAATCACAGATCACCTCTGAAGCCCCTAGCTTTCAAGTTACACTAGACTCTCTCATTGAGTGGAAGGGTACTAGTTATAAACCGCCTGGGTATAAGGTACTATATATGTGCCCAGCTTCTAATCCAGGCAGAGGATATTGTAATTACCCTGGCGAATTTTATTGTAAATATTGGGGCTGTGAGACAATTTCCATGGGGTGGAAGGTACAGAACCCAGATAAGTATCTAAAGGTTGAAAGGGGTCCACACGGATGCATAAAGCCCTGGATAGGTCCCTCAGGGGCAGTAACATATGTTGGGACTTGCAAATTTCACTACATCAATATAACACAATCCCAAGACCCTGGGTGGTTATTAGGACGAACCTGGGGTCTCAGGGTGTGGGAACCTGGAAGGGATAGGGGAGTGCACATTCTTATAAAGAAAGAAGTAGTTCCCCATGATTCAGGATTTGTTGGACCGAATCCAGTGGTGTAGGGATCCGTAGACCCCAACGTAAGGAATCAAAATAACCATTCAGAAAAACTAGAAAATAGCACCCAAATAACAATCACGATAAGGACACCCCAAGAATATGGAAACAAGGCTTTTTGGAAAATTTTGCAAGCTACCTTTAAAGTGTTAAATGACACACACCCAAATTTAACTAGAGAATGTTGGTTATGCTATAACATTAACCCACCCTTTTATGAAGCCATAGGCTCCATAGCAGAACCAAAAAGAGCAAACGGCACTAATCCTGCCACCTGCTCATGGAAATCAGAAAGAGAAGACACCCCAGGAATAACATTATCTCGAGTTACTGGAAAAGGAAAATGTGTGAAAAATGTGCCCCCAGATAAAATTCATTTATGTCAAACAAAACTACAGATTAATGACCCTCGTAAGCCAGCTCAGTGGCTAATTCCAGCACCTAATACTGAATGGGTTTGTAACATTTTAGGAATAACCCCATGTGTTTTTATAACAGCCTTTAATGAAACCTACGAATTTTGCATACAGGTTATAATAGTTCCCCGGGTTATTTATCATTCTGAAGAATATATGTATACACAAATCTTAAGACTTATGTTTGGACCTTGTATTTTTAACAAAATCATTAGCATTGTGAGAAGCAGGTTAGAAGCAGCTCACCTTATGCTAATACGAGCCAAATATGAAGCCTTAAATGAGGAAAAGACAGAAGATTATTTAGAGTTAAGTAAAAGAGAACTACAAAGATTTAATGAACAAAAGTGAGCAATAGAAAAAAGGGAGAATTGTAATAAATAGAGACCCTTTTGTTCGCCTAAACATGTAAGATACGATGCTTTGCAAAACTATGCTTTGTGTAATAGGGATGAGGTTGAAGGCTGCTGCTGACGTCTGTATAATTATGAGAACAGCCTTGCAAGCTCTCTTGAATTCCAGAAAGTTAAGCCACTCAGATAAGCCTTAAAAGGAGAACAGTGAGGAAAGGTCAAAAGAGGAAGACTCCTGATCTTCATCCTGCGACCACCAGAAGGCAGAAAGCGACCACCAGTGACCGGAGGCACATGCACAGAGACACCCGAGAAAGGACACGTAACCCGGAAGTCGGACCACTTAAAAGGGAGAACACGGAAATCAGACGTGCGGCAGCCAAAGGAGCAGAGACTCCCCTGCCGCCCAGCGCTGATTTTTTTGCTTATTGCTTGCTTGCTGTAATTAATAAAATTTTTACCATATCACTCTCTTGAGTGCGTTCATAACAGTTAGGCAGAAAATGAATCCATGAAGTGCAGTTAGGAGGCAGGGCAAGCCATGAAAGAGGGAGGTTAAAACTGAACAACACAAGAGAGCACCAAAATTTCCATAGCTTTCCTTTTCACCAAGTTATTTGCTGTCTTATATTAAATCTTCCTGAATATCTTAGTAATACACGGGGTCAGGGTGGAGAGAGGAGTCACCAAGTGTCTTGATCAAGAGAATCAAATTACCCCTGGTTCTCACCTTGAGGTTTAATGCTGTATGTACATAAAGACCCCCATCAGGTAAGAGATATACTCCTCTTCCTCCTCTGAAAAAAAAAATTATTCAGTGTTGCAGTGTGTTTCTTGTTAATGGTATGTTGTGCTCTTCCCCAAGTTGATGTTTTGGTCCAAATGAGACCCTCTCACCCCACGTTGTCAATCTACTCTAAGTTCCCTGTCAATCCTATCTTAGGTTCACCACATGCTTGGAATTCCACTTTGGAAATCCCCTAAATTTTGATGTTTGATTAGTCCATGTGACCCAATTTCCCCTCTACCTCCCTCACTGGATAATGATTTTATGAACCCTGCCTTTTACCCTCCCCAGGATATCTCTGATTAGCTGATGCTTTGTACCCTCCCTCTGAACCCCCTCCCTATTTCAGCTGTTGCACGCTCGCATTTTCTGTCTTTTGCCCCCAAGATTCCTCAGAGCAATAAATCCTCTATTATCCCATGCAAAAGACTTCCCTCTTGTCCTTGCCTCCTCAGAGCACAGACTGACAACCAAAAAGCCGTGGAGCAAGTGCTCTAGTCACACCTGGGGTCATCCTGCTCCTGGGCTGTGACCCACTCCTGGTGCAGTGATAGAGCCAGATCAGCTCCAGCCGATGCACTAATTCAGTGCTCGAATCATGTTATTGCATTTAAAAAAAAAACACTCTCCACCTGAAAGCTTGTTCAGTGCTTCCTACTGCAGCATTTCTGAAGAAAGTAATACATTTAAAGAAAGTAATAATAACAGTATTCCTGTGCCATCAGTAAGAAAAATTGGGTGCCTTCCACTGTCAAGAGGAGTATAAGATTTGATAGGTGATCTACAAACATCCACAAAACAAAAGGAGACAGGGAGAGGCATCTTGGTAGTCTTACTGCATCCTCTTTAATTTAGAATGCCCAAGGAATTTGGGCAAAGTGTAGATCTCAGCAGAGCCTGGCTGGGCAGTGGATACACTGATACCTTACAGCACATGCTTCCATGTGCCACCAAAACTGAGATTCTGCAAATCTCTGTGCAAACAAGCACAGGTTCCCCTGTGGTCATCCTGGGCACAGCCTGGGGAGCTATTTCAACTCTGGAGGAGGTCTTAATTCCTGGTTTTCTGTTTTAGTTGGAAATTTATATTTTATTTCACCTCATTTTTCTCTGGATTGGCTCTTCTGTGTGATATATGTGAGCAGGATCATGCCACAAAGTGACACCTTTCAAGGGGTTCTTTGTTCATTGTAAATGAGGCTGATGGTCCCAGGCCACTCTAAAAAGGCCATCCAAAGATGATATGCGGTCATGACTATGGGTACAAAGACAAATTCAGAATGTGAGAATTCAGAATATGGAGCAGAATCGTCCCCAACCCTGATTCACTGGTTCTTTTTTCCCTGAGTGGAACTAGCAGTGATGGTACCCTGCTGTTCTTGTCTTAGATCCTTGTGTAAGTGCTCCCCACAGATACCCACAGCTCCTGCATCTCAGACAAGAGCAGACCCTGTCCTGACTGGGGCTGCTGCCCACTGCTCCAAAGACTCTTTGTATGACATCCTGTACATTCACTAATAATAAATACATTTTTCCAGCCACTTTCTCCAAAGCTCAGAGCCAGATTGAATCATAGGCACACTGAGTTCTTGCAATACCTCTTCCCATGGTATTTATATGTCATTAATGATAGTAAAAGATTTTGAAATCATAGAAAATTCAGGAAGTTAGAAAGAAAGGTAGGCTTGGTAGGCCCTGGGAAATTGCTAAAGGTAGGCCCTGGGAAATGTTAGGCCTTGTGCTTGCTGAGATCATGTGAAACTGCACCTGTGTAGTCAGTAGATGATAAATGATATAATTGTTAGATGTGATTAGATATAATTATTGTTTAAAGAATCATGAGAAACTATGTTAGGGGTTTGAGGGGGATCACAAGAAATCCATGCTTGGATGAAATCAATAGAACAATGTAAGTTTAATAATTAATATGTAAGTTATATAATGATAGAGTATAAAATATGTTCAGCTCAAAACCAGGTCGGGTCAGATTTGGGTCTGTGTACCCCTGACACCAAGAGCTCTTTAATAAAAGCACCTACATATAACCATTCCATGATTATGTGTTCCTGAACGCTAACATTAAGAAGCTCTGGGTTCTTGCTGCTGCCTTTTCTATGCACAGAAGCCCTGATTTTGGAATCACACCATGTGCTGGTTGAAATTTCTGCAACAGGTGAGCAGCAAATGCATGTAATCACAAGATAATTCATATTGGAAGAGAGATAAGAAAGATTCTTGTTCAACTTCCTGCTTGCAGCACTTAGCTGTGAGATCAGATCAGACCAGGTTACCTAAGGTTTTTTCCAGTTTTGTTTTGAAAACCTTCAAGTATGGAGACAGGACAACCTTATGACGAAAGACTTTATACTTACAACCCATTATATTCACCTGTCTTATTTCAACACCCCTCTGGTCTCTTGTCCTCACATTATGATTATGCATTATGCAAATAGTTTGACACCTGCTTGATGAGCTCCTCAGACATGCTCCACATGACAGCCCACGGAGAGCTATGCTCAGAGCAGGCACCTCTTCTCACTTTCTCTGTCACCCAAGTCTGTTTAGAAGTGGCTCTCTGTGGCCACAGAAGTTGGTCAGGACATCTGACATCTCAAAGCAGGGATAGAGATGAGGTGTCTGAACCCCTGAAGAGGGGAGATCCAAGCTGCTCCCAGTCCCCTTGCAGATAGACCAGGGCTAGTCCTGGCTTTGGACTGACCTTGTCAGTGCATCAGCAAACATGGGAACAAGAAAATTAAGGCATGACCAACACCTGTTGTCCCAAACATGGGTTTAATGAAGGGGAAGACTCTCTGTACTGAACCTTGGGCTAGGCAGGGCTGTCACACTGCCTGACACTTGTCTTACAGTCTCTATCTCCCATATTGGGCTTGTTCTACCTCCTGGAACTCTCCTACTGCTCACTGGTGGCCACCCCGCCCTTTGATGTGAAGAGGAAGGTGAGTGACAGCAGCACAACAACAACCAGATGGTTCAGTCAGCCCCCATCATGAGGCTATGCTCCCATTCTGCTGTCAGCTCCCTGGGGGTACAAAGGAGAAGGCACAAGTGCTGCTATGAAGACCTTTGTGCATGTCAACCCTTCAGCTCTTAAATCCCACCACTGTACATTGCACTGAGCCCTGCTCATGTGTGGTATGGCCTTCCTGTCTGCTAGGCTGGGGAAGTGTGGGGGGCTGGGGTCTCCATGGCTGGTAAAGGGATAGGCACCAGGTGAACAAAGCATCACAGCCTTGCCCAGCTCTCAGGGGCTGCCTTGCACCAGAGGGCTGTGCCCTCCTGATGGGACCGACCGGGCCTGCCCTGATGAAGGTCCTGTAAAACTGTGTGATTTTGCAGCACAGGCAATTGAAGCTCCTCCATTATAGCCCATGGGTGGGACCTGACCCAGGCCAAGGGCAATCTAGTGTCATTACAAAAGGCCTTCAATACACAGAGGAAGCATCTGTAAGAAAATATGGTGCATTAAGAGACCTATTTGGAAGGGCAGATTGATTAGCGGGAATTTATAAAAATCTGTCTTCCAGCATGTTTGCACCAAGGTATTGCACAGATATTTATCTGGGTTTCCATAAACTGGGCATAAAGGACAAAATTCTCTTCTTGAGATTGTGCAGGACCTCAGAGACCTATAATGTAATGGGGAGCCCTGATGATTTGTGCAGACAGCAGCATGCAGGCACGGATGCTGCCGAAGCAAGATAAGACTGACAATCTTTCTTCTCATGCCAGGACTTTAAGGAACAGATTATCCACCACATTGTGACCATCACTCTGATCTTTGTCTCCTACTGTGCCAGTATGATATGGTTAGGGATGATAATCATGCTGGTGCATGATGCCTCTGATTATATTTTAGATGTGCATTACCCTCACCTGGAAATCATGGAATCACAGAATGGTTTGACTAAGAAAGGACATTAAAGCCCATCTCGTTCCAACCCCTCTAGTGGAACACTTTCCACTAGATCAGATTTCTCCAAGACCCATTCAACCTACCCCGAGGATAGGGCAACCACAGCTTCTCTGACCAACCTGTGCCAGAGCTTCACCACCGTTTGAGTAAATTTCTTCCTGACATCTAATCTAAATCTCTCCTAGTTTAAAACTTTGCCTGTGTAAAAAGTCGCTCTCCCAGTTGCAAGCCTGTGATTGTGCCTGTGGGCAGCACTGGCAACTGTGCATGTTGCTACACATGACACATGTCAATGAAGTGCCCATGAGTGGGACACGTAAGTTAGTAACAGAGCATGTAGGAAGTACTAGTTCTACTGCTCTTGAAGAAAGGTAATTGGATGAAAAGAGACTAGGACACATCCCTACAAGCTTGGTCACCCTTGCAGAATGTGGTAAATCCCTCAGCCCCTAGAAGGAGAACACAGGCACAAGGGACATAAGGAAATTTCTCTACAGCTTGCCAAAATACTCCATTACCTGAAATGGAAGCAGGTCTGTGAAACAGTATTCAATGTTTTTGCTGTGGTTTTCATTATCTACCAGCTTGTCATTTTCCCATTAATATAACATTTTGCTGTCCTGTGAATGTAGGTGTTATGCTCTGTCTGAGCTTCTGGAGAGGTGACCCTCCATGCTGAATGAGGAAAGGCAGAGAATAGAACACTACAAGTTCAAAGATTATTTAAACTGGAACAGAAGAATCCACAGGAAAAAAAATCACTAGTAGTTTTAAATATATTAATGAATTAATTCTACTAATTAATCTAGAGCCACAGCATCTGCCCCTCTATTCCCACTCCTAATGTCATAAACACTGGTTCCTATGAGAGAAAGAAGGTGCAAACCATACTGGTTAGAATTTCCCAAGAAATTCTTAGCAGACTAAAAAGGCCTTAAACTCAAAGGTCTATTAAGACACAGTTAGTATAGAAAAAACAGTAAATTTAAAGTGACGCACTACGCATCTGAAATAAAACAAAAAAGTAATGAGGGATTCAGGAGGTAGGATGCCAATGCTGGGAGGGCATTGGCAATGATTCCTCCAGAAGTCACATACAGGTACCAGCCTTGGAGAATGGCTTTTGCGTACACACATCTGGCAACCCTTCCAGCCTTTTACTGGGCTGAAATTGTTCTTTTTTCTTTTTGTTGCCTGGAAAAACCTGATTTTTTATATTAGTTGCCTGTGTTATAAATTTGTATTGTGATATTGGCTTTTGCAGATGAATATTATATATTAAATACTTTTTAGCTATGTATGTACTTTTTTTCTTGCTAACAAGTCTTAAGTTTAAAAGAATTTCCTAGGTACAAGTCAAGGAAACCCCAGAGGGCAAGGACAGTGGGGCCCAAGCTGTTATCAGGAGAACAATAGAGGCCAAACTGTTATCAGCGGAAGATATGAAACCCAGCTGCCCTCAGGGGAAGGATGACGGGCCCCGGACTGTTATCTGCCCTGACCATTTGCAAAAAGAAAGGAAACCAAAAACTCCAAAATAATGCTGACCAGCAAGAATAATGATGACCAGCAAAAATATATGCTGACCAGCAGAAAATAAAATTGTGAAGAGCATAATCCAAGAAGGCGGAACCAGGGAGGGGACATGCTTGAATATGCATTAACCCCTCACAGCAAGGAGGGGATAAAAAGGGTATTCCTGAGATACCAGGGGTGTTCCTGGCAAGGCGCCAGGGCACCTGGCCGTTTTAACCCTTTGCTTTATTTCTTTTGTCTCCTAATTGTCTTTTTATTTATATTAAATTCTTTTTATAATTTATTAAGTGAATCTCGTTTTTAATACCTTCAACTTTCTTGAGTTACCCCTTCATCAAAGCAAAATTACAAGAAAAAGCAGTTTTTCTGAGGAAATTATAGGGGATACTCTACTAGTTTGAAAACAAACCAGTGTTAGCTCCCAAGTCAGAAGTACAATTTAATAGGAAAATGAAAATAAAGGCAGAAAACACTGGCTAAAACTGACAGTCAGGGTACAACCTGACACCCTGTTGGTTAGGGTGGTGGTAGCAGTCCATTTAAATGGTGGCTGCAGTCCTCTTGAAGTGATAGATGTGGTTCTATTGAACCAATGATCCTGTCTAGGTCTAGTCTTCCTCTGAAGGTTCACAAAGGTTATGCAGCTCCTCTCTCGGAATCCTGTAGGTAAGGCTCCTCATGGTGTTCTCCAAGCCTCAGATTATATCCAGGTAGGAATGCTTGGTTCCTTCCCCTGGGTGGAGCATCTCACAATGGGATGATGCAATTTATGAGTCAAGCAATGAGACTTGACAGTCCATTAACAGAAGATAGTCCCAGGAGGGAGTTGTCAGGGATGAGTCATGGAAGAGATAAAGAACACTGCCCCACCTTTTTATAACAGTTTATGAAAATGGTGATAGAATACATACTTTTGGTTACATCTTACATTGTAACCTAAGACAGATAAGCTCATTGAAGTTGTAGACAATAGCGAAACAAGGAGCCCAGTCCATATGCTTGCTGGACAAATCTGTGTTGGCTTCCACAGCTTCAACAGTAATAAATTAGATAGGAAAATATGCTGAACAACTATATGTAGAATAAATATAAACATTTTTTCAGGAAGTCACATTACAAGAGCATTATGAGGGTGTGAAAAATTGGGTGAAACCATAATAGAGTTAATACCTGTCAGTTAATCTCCCAATGCAGGTACAATTGCAGCACTGGCTTTAACAACATGATCACACCTCTTGTTTTTTTTAGCTACCAGGTTAGGCCCACAGGGCTGTGAATGAAAACAGGACTAGTCTTCTCAAATATAATTTAAACTTTCTTTCCTTCAGAAAAGACAAGATGTCAGAAGTGACACTGAAGAGAGTGAAAGGAACAAAGGAGAGGATCTGGAAAAGCACAAAGAATAACACAGGGCTTGCTGCAAAACACCAGGATCCAGTAAGTCTTTGGAATGCAGGAATGCTGAAGAGGAGTAGGGGAGAGGCTTGACAGCAGCTTCACTGGAGTGTGCCTGAGGCCTAGGTGGAGGTGAATTTCATCACATCTATAGGCAGTTAAGTCACTTAAGAAGTTGTTTTCTAGAATTATTCTGTTAGGATTATTAGTTTACTACTTCTCTATAATCATTCATCCAGGGAAAAAAGAGTATTCCAGCCAAAGTCCCACTGCATAAAGAGAAGAGGGGTTGAACAAGCTGCAAAAGTTATGACTCCTATCTGTGATTATCTCAAAGCCTTCCCAAAAGGTTCATGAGATAATAAATTGAAATGGGGGAAGATTTAACCAGTTTGCAATTTCAAAAGACAGTGGCAGTCATAACCAGCCACCCCATGAAAGGACTTGCATGTGAAAGGCACTGGCTTAAATGGCAAGTAACTTTTCACTTGGGAGGTATAAAATGGTCAGGCTCTGGGATAAACCATTTCTGCAACTAAGGCCTGGCCAAATGATACAAGCTGTATTTGCCATATGAATTATACAAAATAGCTCTAATGTCTAAAAGATTTTGCTTACTGAATGTCTTCTCAGGGAGAAGTCTCCTAAGACTAAGAACTAAATTCTTCCAAATGCACACTTTTCCGCCAGAAATTATACATAATAAATGGAAGCTTTCTATATGGATGTATTAATTTTGTTGAGATTTCACTTTTAAAATTGGAAAATACAAGCATAACAACACTATCATTTTACTCCAATGGTTTAGGGTTTGGATGATGCTTCACCTTGCAATTTCTTGCATAAGATCTAATTTTCAGAATTTATAGTATAACAAAAAAATTTAAGCAAATGTAAAAAAATAATTGCACAACAAAAAAAGTCTGTTTTATATACATTTTTCAGGAAGTCTTTTTAGAACATCAGATCATATGTCAGTAGGAAAACCTGTGAACCTTGCTGGTAGCCCGACATTATGTAACTCAAAGGTTGAACCAGCTTTCCCTTGAAGGACTCTGGAGTTTGGGTCTGCAGGCTGCAATCCTGGAAGACAGGCAGCCACCCTCTCTGTGTGGAACATCAGCCTTGAGCAGGATGTCACCCCATCCCCTCTAGCTGCACTTTGGTGGGGGTACAAGACCCCTCATTGGGATCCCTGGTGTAAGGGCTTGCCCATGAATTAATGTACTGTGTCCCTTCGAGTATAATGCTTTCTTTTAAAGTCCCAAATAATACATGAGAATCTCAGCATTTAAAAGATTTATGCAGCCTCCAGGGCACAACTGGACCCTGGGCTCAGAGAACAGGGCCCAGCCTCAGCTGCTGCAGCCCCATCATGGGGCCCCCAGCTTTGCAGGGGGAGCTGGCAAGGAGAGGAAGCCAAACCAGAACTACAGGGCTTCTGTCTGGAGGCCTGCTGTCCTGACAGAGCTGTCACAGTGGCAGGGTTGCTTTTAACAAACACCTCTCCGTTTTTAAGGCCTCTCCCCTTCTCTGGAGATGTTAATCATTCAGCTCAGGAACTCTCTTGTTGTGTCACATCAGAGAACAGACTCTGACAGCGCAGATGACTGCAGTGGTTGCAGTGCAGCCTCCTAGCTTGCTTCTGTTGCACCTGTTGCACTCTCCACACTTGGGAGGCATGAGTGCCCTTGGAGATCAATCCCCTCCTGCCCTAAGTCCATAGTTCTGCCCAGGAAATGCTCTTCTTCATATACAGTCTTTAATTAAAGCTATGTGCAGGACCCTGCTCCTTGCACCCTCATTTTAGTGCATTGGGATGGGCATTTTTATTCTGAGTCTCTGTAGCCGTGAACCCAAAGAGGACTAAGGAAACTGAAGCCAGATTCTTAGGACTCAGTGTGCAACTGTTTGTCATCACATACCTGAATCAATAAATCCAGAACAGTCTCCATCCTGTGCTGCTCTCCATGCTGGAATAAATTTTATATAATTTTAGCCATAATTACATAAGCTGTGAAACTTGATTATTTCAGGCTAAAATGGTACTGATACTAAGTATGGCTTTACAGCACTTGCTGTTTGTTTTCTTTTTTTACTCTGTCCTACAGCACTATTGGTTTATAATCCTGCTGAAGATTCTCTTGACACACATTTGATTTATTATTTAAATCCTATGATATTTCTTAACAATGAGGCAGTGATTTCCCAGCTGTTCAAAGGACAGAGAGCCACAGAGGTTAAAGGTGAGAACAGCCCTTTATTGAGCATCAACCCTAAAGAGCTTATGTACCATAACAATATCAATCACCATTTTCAATAATTACCTGCATCCTTTGTGTAGACAAAGTTTTCACTGGCTCTTGCTTCAAGTTCATTTGTCAAGTAGAAAAAAAATATAAAATTACAAAGGAACAAAAGTTTTAAAATGTCACAGGCCACAGTTGATGCAATCTAACTCCCCTCAGCTGTAAAGCTTCCATTCATGCCCGCATATCAAATCTTCGCACAGAGACACAGCCATGAATAGGAAGGGGGCAAGGGAGTTTGTCATCTATGACCTGGCACACATCAGTGTAGGGATCAAAGAGGACTACAGTGGGGAGGGCACTATTTCCCTTCCTCTGTCCAAGGAGATAAATTTGTCCATTCACAGTGCTGCATCCCATGAAGAACTTCTGGGTCAAGCATTCCTCATTCACCTGGGTCCATTCATCTGTCTCCACATCAAATCGAAAAGCTCCCCCTCCTACAGTGTACAGAGCCCCATTCAGGGATGTGACGCAGAGGTCATACCTGCAAGAGAAGAAACCCTTGATCAGAATAAACAGGAAGATTTGGCCTCTGAGATATTCAGGGTGACCTTGGTCCTCAAATCAGAAATCTGTTTAAACAGAGACTCACACAAGTGTTGCAGGGACAGGACTTCTAGATTTCTACAGTCTAACTTCTTCTTGGAGCAGGACCAATACTAGAATACTTCATCTTCTGCCAGGTCCCAGAATATTATTTCTTACCTTGGAAGAGGGGAGAATGAGATGATATCCCAGCTGTCTGTCTCCGTGTTCAGCCTTTGCACTCCATCATATACATGTCCATTCTCATCCAGGCCACAGACCACGTAGATCCTGGTTCCCACACTGACTGCATCGCCTCTCTCCACAGGCTGAGCCATAGGACTCATGCTTTCCCACTCTGACTCCATCAAAGCCATACGCTCCACTGCTGGGATTATCCCCTCATCTGTGCTCCCTCCAAGAACATACAGGTATAGCCCTACTCCTACTGCACAGTGGCTATTGCGGGACTTCTTCATGGCTGGCCCTTCCAGCCAGCAATTGTCCAAGCAGTTGTAGATAAGCACCCAATCCACACTGTACCACACAAACTCATCCCGGAAATACCCTCCTGTCACAAAAAGGAAGCTCCCTGGAAAGATAACAAAGAAAATACTAGTCACATGAAGGCTAAAAATTGCTCCTGATAGCTGCAGTTCTCATTTCACCCAGGGCTGTACTGATAAGGTACAAGATAAGGAGAGAAAATAACTGCTCTGTCCATCAGTTTGCAGTATTTAATTCCTCATCCACAGATACATTTGGCCTACAGTATGCAGCCAATGTTTCCAAGCCTGCTCCAATTTTTGAACAGAATCATGGAAACACTAGTTGGAAAGAACCTCGGGGATCTCACTTTCAAACTCCTACTAGAAATGGGATTATTACCAACACTAATACAGGAAGCCATAGAATTGAGGTGGCTTGAAAGTCCCCAAGCATGAAAATATTCCAACATCTATAGATAAGTTTAATGTAATGGCAACTATAAATCAGAAGTCACCTGTCATCTGTCTAAACCACTACAAAAGAGAAGGCCAAAAAATACACTGCTTAAAGCTAATTCCAAACAAAGCCAAGGTAAGGAGCTCGGCAGAGTGCATAGTTTTGCTATATGAGAATAGTGATGTCTAGCATTCTCCCAGGACTAAGGAAAACAAAACCATTCTTTGGACAAATATGAACACCAATATGAATGAGGTTTTAGCAATGCTCAGCACAACAGTTTTACAGCAACAGCTAGACTCCCTGCATTTGGGATTCAGTCTCAACATCTGTTTGCATTTGCTCATTCTCCCTTCTCTGTAAGTTACCTACTGCTGCCACTGCATACTGGGTGAGGTTCCTGCGCTGCAGTGGAGAACAAGCCTGCCAGGTCCCTGTTTTAGGCTGAAAGAGAAATAATTCCTGCTGTTCCTTGTCATGCTTTCCTCCCAGGACATATAAGGTGTCATAGCTCCGACCAGCATAAGGACACAGCTTCAGATTTTGCCAGCTGGGTGGGGGACAGCTGTCTAACTTCTTTATTAGTCTGGAAAAGATATCTGTCTCTCCAGCATGCTTACTGTGTTTGACCAAGATATCAAGGAAGGATAAACTCAGAAAAGTGACCCTGACTTCGCCCACCAAATCCAGAAATTCTTCCTCTCTTGTTGCTGGGTCCTCCATTATCCAAATCATAATACTGTCAAAAACCACATCCTCTCTTGAAATGAAGAGGTCATCACTTTTCAGGAGCTGCATCAGCATTTCCTTGGGTAATGCCTTAAATTCTTCCTGGCATATCACATCCCCCCAGTGAGTGAGAGCCACATTCATAGCAGACATATACAACTCTGTAAAGGCAAATTGCTGTGAGTAGATCATCAGGCCTAGGCAGTTGGAAACATGCAGTTCTCGCTCCAGAAATTTCTCACACAACAGTTTCACCCTGTCAAACTGAAAAAAATCAGCTGTTTCCAGTAAGCTGGTCACATTTTCTTGACCTATGAGCACTTGGGCTGTGCGAGTGAAGTCAAGTAGTGCCTGAAAAGGCACTGCATCAATCCCTTTTATCACTATGTGCTGTTCAGAGCTCTCTCTTGCTCCTCCAAAAAACATGGCTTCAAAATATCGGCTGTGTACTGAAAGTATCCTACGGCTGACCTGGAAGAGTCTCTCTCCAACCTCAAGAA